TTAAATTAATATCATAACTTTATGAATTCGCGTTGCAGAACCAAGATCACCCCAGTAGAAATCAATCGTTGATTACGTTACCATACCAACCTTATTAAATTTTTTTAAGATCATTGTTTAAAAACTATTTGTATATGGTTCAACTTTTTTCCGTGCATAGGAAAAAATATCGAGTGCAGCAKGTTAATTTGTATWGATACATTTTTYAAAGAGTTATTTCTTTATATAAAATTTTCTTTTATATAGTAACCACCTACTTATTAAATATAATGTTAAGCATATTTTATAATTTAAAAACCGAAAGTTATTCAGTGGTATTTTTGATTTCAAATGTACCTCGTCATTGCATAGGTCACTACTGTGTAATCTGTAAAGTGTAATATTATGTTGAATTAGAATTCAACAATAATAGGTTATGGTACATTGGGTTCATCTGTCACTTCACTCTACTCATATATTAAGTTTAAATTAACTTATAACTCGACAGTTTAGCAAACGAGTTTATGTATAAATGTATCTACACATATACATATATATTATATACCTATGTAACTATGTATATTATATATAATTAGAATCAGCTATTCGAAATCTGACAATAAGTGTTGACGATTAAAATAATAGCAATTTTATTTTATTTTTTTATACATATTATTGTAATACAGATATTTTTATTTTTACCCTCTAATATTAGTCGTATAATATAGTTACGCTGGTGTGTAGGTTATTTTAAAATCTAGAAACAAATTCCAAGCGTATTATAAAGTAGACTCTATCTACAATTATTAACAACAATAATAACCATAACGTTATGATTGGTAGTTATAGTTATTATATATAGTATAGTTATTATTGACTAAGTGTAGGTACTTTGGAGAAAATACATTTTAAATGTTCGAATTATACTGATAGCATATATTTTTATTTTATAGTATATTAAAATGTTTTTTTTTTTTTAAAAAAGCTTATTTATATTTTTATATGAGTGTTAGCATAAATCGGTTCCCAGTTTTAAAGTTGTTCAAAATTTGATTTCAATACATCGAATACACCATGAAATATTTTGCTTATGAAGAATATGCGGAATAAAAATGATTATCATCGATTTTTTTAAATCATAAACGTAAAAAAATAAACTTTTTTTTTATATTTTACTCATTTTATTTATAATAAACAGAAATAATCGGTTTGTGACAAAATATTAAAAATACGTTATAGTATTGGAACTAATGAGTGGGCTACTTTAGAATAATTAGACACCATAAAATATATTCAGGCACTGAAGTGGACCTACATATTATAGCTTCCCTATTTTTCAGTTCAAGTTATATCATCGTAATATTCCGGTTTATTAAAAATAACGATTAAAAACAATCCCGTCGCCGCCCTCCGCACGCGTGCATAATGATTTACTCGACTGCGCATTACAATATATTATTTTATTACGTATGTACGCGATTTTTTTTTCTTTTCCTTTTGGCACGAACGAGTGATTTACATTTACACGGAATGCGACGCCGTCGCGTCTCCGAATATGCAGGGTGGGTACTCCTCGACGGCAGCACACGCAGACAACACAGCATTATACAATATTATAATATTACGTATAAGATAATAATATTATATTAGTATAAGGTAATACAAACGTCGTCATTAAAACGGAAAACAAAAATAATAAATTCGAAATCGACACACGCGGCAACGGCCATCTAAACAATAATTAATAACAAACACGTCGCAGTCACGCGTAATGTTAATGCTGCACGCGTTCAATAATAGTTTTAGATTAATGTATATATATATATATTTATACTATTTTATAGTATATAAATAAATAATATGTACCGCGTTTAAGTAATTATGTGTTACAACTTTGTACGCTTACCAAAAACATTGTACGCAGCAAAAATATTGTATACATGTTATTATTGTCGATCTGGCACTTTCGAATAGGCACGCCAACTACGCCGTTTAAAATAATTATAATAATAATAATATGCAAGTACTTCTGATTATACAACGGCTAAATGATTATTATTATTATATTTAATGGTAAATTAATAATTTATAAAAAATAGTTATTATTTTCCGATCAACGTACATAATAGTATTTACCTATAGTATGTAAAAAAATATAATACAACGACTCCTATCATAATGGACAAAATAAAAAGGTCCCGGCAAAAATATTGGCATGACCAGAAACAGAGACGGCGCCATCTTTTACGAGGATCTGGTCAAAACTTTACCAATAACCAAAGTCACCTAAGCCTATACGATTTCCATATAAAATATTTTTCAATGTAAACTTTAAGCGCGAAACCCCGGACAAATGACCCGCTTTGTCCCCTCCCCTAAACGCCAACACTGACCATAAACCCTTATTTAACGGACACGTTTGATGGTCCCCAAAAGTGTCCTAAATRGGCAGATTTAAACTAAATTATTATAAAACACCGCCTGATACACCTATAATGACCTATATACAGGAAAACGAGGCAGATTTTTAGCAGGTTACTATACTATACGTATATACATATATAAAGATTTAATTTTGACAAATATCAGTATGGAAAATATTGTTAAAACACAGCTCCGATTATACCATATACGAGTTTTGGTTTGGGTGTGACTTAACAATGTGAGGCATCACGCCAGATTTTTTTATTTACCACGAATTATTTTTATTTATTATCACTGTTGTATAACAATGAAATAAAACATGTTAACACGTAAACTGAATTTAATGGCTGTCGTCGCCACACATTGAGGTGTTGTTTTAATCGACAGCATCACATTTTGTGTTCTTTTCGGAATAAAATTTGATTTTGCATTCGTTGACATTGTATCGTCATCGGTTCACTCTATTCAGTAACTGCGAGTTTTTTTTTTTTTTTTTGAGATCGTAAAATAGTTTTACGAAAGATTAATCTAGTAGGAAAGTCGGGTTTAAAAAAAAACACAATTGATTAACAATTATATAAATATAATTTTAAGATATAAAAAAAGATTATACTTTTATAATGTATTTTTGTACAAGCGCGCGCGTTTGTTTTTTGTATTTATATAAAATAACGCGATGCACAAATAATAATAATAATAAAAAAAAAATAGTGTTAAAACTTCTTAACATCATTATACCGATTTACTTGCGAACAATATATAGGTATAGTACCGTAAAGTCTACCTGTAATAATGTACAATGAGTAAATCTATATACAACACATTCACATCGTACACGTCATTATGTACATAATATTATGTATTTTAATAATAATAAACCAACTAATATATAAGTATATAAAATCGAAATCAGAAAGTAGGGGAGGGGAGGTTTAATCATATGTACTTATAACGCTAATACATATATATAGAAAACAATATAATAGTAATAATAATAATATAATAATAATAATAAGGTGAATAATAATATAATGTATAATATTAGACCTTGTATTTTTTTTTCGTTTTTTTATTATTATTTTTTATTTTTYGTAAATACCTTCATATATATGTATATCCATAATATATATATATGTACCTGGTACATATATATAATATGTTATACAGTTTATATATGTATTAAAAAATATATATATATATATATATGATTAAACATGACTTTATATTATAGTTTATAATATCCTTGCACTTTAAAATATTATTTAAGAACAAATATTAGGAAAAAAAATAATTTATTCATAACAAAACAATCTAAAAATGTTTTGTCGAACAAGTATTCATCGTGTGTTATTAATTACGTTCAGAAAAGTTGTGGAAGTTATATATTTAAATTATATAAAAAAAAATTATTTTTTTTTGTTTGTATGAGATCATATAATAAATTTTAGGGGTTTTAATTAGTACAAAATGACTCGTGGGATTCAAATGGTAAAAATGATACAAACACCACCGTATCGCTCGCCCTCGTTACTCTTCATTTATGTACATGGTATTTTATTTTACACGATGTGTTATAGTTACAGGTAAAAATCGAATTATCGTTAATGGTCATTTTTTTTAACTTTTGAATTTGAATAAAAAATATAGGTAAATCAAAATATGCTTATGATGTGTAAGTATCTAGCCAAAGCATAAAAAAAAAATATGACGTTGAGAAMATTCCTTTTTCTAATTCGGACACAAGATTTTCATAATACCTATATAATATACACACATAAACATACATATTATACACACACGCGTAAGCGTATATAATATATATATATATATGTATATATACTTCTCCACATATATATATATTATTATAWTTTTTTTTTGCTTTTTTCAATTTTCATAATGTTGATACAAATGGAAGCACCCTATACTTAACAACACTTAAGCAACAGTATAATTATTTTTTATAGTACAACGTGATAATGATTAAAATATAATATGCTATATATGAATATATAAAAAACACCTAAACAAAATGTTCACACTTGGAGTATAAAAAAAAATTTAAAGATTATGAAGCGAATATTATTATCATTATTGTCTACAGAGGCTCTAGTTACTAGCATACAATATAATATTTTTACAATATTACGTTAGTCGTGTTCAAAAAAAATTTAGAAAGCGATTCAGAAGTAAACCAAAATACATATAATATAATATCATTATTATTATTTTTTACGAAATACACGACAAACTTAAAAAATAAACGTCGATACATCACAATTTTTGACGAATTTTACGAGCGAAATAAATATTTAAAAAAKTCACGTCGTTTTTATGTTTAATATATCTATATATATGTTGTATATAAATTTACAATGAAATATTCGACACGTATCATACGACAACATAAGAAAGTCGTATTATTATATAATGTTGACACGATAAGAGTGAAATTAATTCTGATTGTCGTCTGCCGCCAACCAATACTGTGTGTGTATACGAATGTATAAAACATAATAATGGCAACAACTGCAGTGGTGGTAGTAGTAGTAATAATAATAATATAATTTTACGCAAATATACATAATATAACATATATATATATACCTACAAGACGTATACAAAAACAAACGGACATAAAAAACTTACATGTGTGTGATTTATTACTCCAAACGCAAGCACGTCGGTTTTATATGAGTATTGTTTTTTTTTTAACCACGGTGTATAGATTTTCATATAAATATATATAATATTTACGCGCACACAATACTTACACATACTTGCACGCGTACGTATAGGTAGAATAAATATAACAAAATATAATACGACAAAAAGAGGAAAACGTAATAAAACGAATAAATTAACTTAAAAATTATAACCAATCACAGCAGAAAACTTGATGTTTATGTATTTATACGTTTAGATATTTTTTGTGTTTGTGTGTTTTTGGGTAGTAGTGGCGGCGGTCAAAACAGGTGAACGACGACGGCGGCGGTTGTGGCGGTGGGGAGGAGCGGTTTTGGGGGCTAGCGGTAGGGGTGCGTTCTTCTCCTCATTTGCCCCGAGGCATCTAGCAGTCGTTGATGATGCCTCGCACGTCCTCCCAGTCAGCGGTCACGCCCATGTGGGAGAGTATGTCGGTCATATCAGACGGGCACGAGAACTCGAGGTGCGAGCTCGGCCGGACRGAGCCGTTGTCTATGTCGGATGACAGGCAGTCGATGTCCATCTTGAAGTCGGACGGCATCTGTATAAGGTCGTCCAGGCACTCGAGGTCAGCCAGCGATGGATTCTCGCCGACGCGGCCCAGCGCAGCCGTCTCCGACTCGCAGTCCATCGGTTCCTGTTTGACGGAGAAATACGAAGACTGAGCGACGGTAGACAACGAGGACGGCGACGGATGCGATGGTTCGGCATTGAGCAGCAGGTGATCGTCCTTCATCAGGCTTCGGGCGAGCAGATCGGCCGACGACTGATTGTTTAGGTGATTGTGCTGTTGGTGGTGGTGTTGGTGGAGCTGCTGGTCTATCTGTCGGGCGGACATGAGCGACGCGGCCGAACCGGGACTGAGCAACATTGCGTTGGCGTTGGCGGTGCCGCAGTTGTTGTCGCCGTCCTCGTTGTCATCGTCGTCTACGTCGGCCAACACTGTGATTGTGGCCGATGTGTTGAGCGGGTTGAGCAACTTTATWTTGAGCGGCTTGACGACGTCGAAACATGTCAGCGGCGATTCGTCGTAGAACGTGGCGCTCTCCGGCGAGTTTGGAGTGTCGCACGTCGGGCTGGTCGGCACCTTGGCGTTTACTGAGGCGGGCACGCGCACCTCGGTCGCATCCTTGGAACTGTTTTTGCCCTTGGCCGTATCGATCGTGAAGTGATATTTGAGCCGATCTGTGTTCACCGGGCTCATCCTGTTCACCTGTATGATACCGTTGCGCCGGAGAATGGTCTTTGACGACGACGAAGACGATGAAGTGGTGTTGTCTTGGACCAACACCGGCAACACCGCTGGTAGTGGTGTGTTCCTTTTATCCAGCAGTTGCACTGTCCCCGCGTTAAGTGTACACGCGACGCGGCTAGGCACGGTCGTCAAAGCGTTGCCAAACTTTTTGCACATGTTCTTCCGGAACTTTGACTGAGCCGCGGCCGACGTGGTGGTCTTGGCGATTGTGGCCGCTCCGGACGAGTTCGTGTTACTACTACTGTTCTTTGGCGTTCTCTTGCGTGGTCTGTATTTATAGTCCGGATACTCTTTTAGGTGCATCAGTCTAAGTGTCTCGGCCTCTTCAATGAACGGTTTTCGCTGTTCATCGGTCAGCTTTTTCCACAGCATACCGAGCTTTTTCGATATCTCCGCGTTGTGCATGTCCGGTTGATCATTGCATATCTTGCGTCTCTCAATCTGTGACCACACCATAAACGCGTTCATTGGTCGTTTGATGTGATTCGGATTATTCTTTTTCGTCTGTAACAAGAGAGAAAGAAAAAAAAAATCACACGATTAGTAAAAATTGGTCACATTTTCCTCTGTAACCATAATTATTGTTTTCATCTTCGAATGACGAAAATTATGTTAGTCAGATAACGACGAAGTATTAAAACACAATATTATTAATATCTCATTTTATATTTTATTCTTACGAACGCGCACGTCAAACGGCAATAATAACGATAATATTCGTTGGCAAAACGCGTGTGAATAAATATATGAATAAATAAATAAATAAAAAATCGTTAATATAAAAAATTCTTTAAAAAAAAAAATATTGAGCGGCAGTAAGTATAACATTATTTCAGTTTTTACTGAAAAGGAAAAATGTTTGATAGGACTTTATATAAATAATTAATAAATGTTCTGCCTATTATCTACGATTCTTCAGACTGTAACAGYTGAACAATGATACATAATGTTTTTCGACACTATTATCGAAATAATGAAACATTTATAAAGCAAATAATCTGTCTAAAATCTCAAGTATACAAATACATGTACCTAATGCTCATAACAAGTCAAAAGCGACGTAATAAATACTGAGAATATTATTTTAAGTATGGGTAAGTATTAAATTATCACTATTCATACGTTGTATATTTAAATTAAACCTTATTATATTTTTAAGAGAAGCTGGCTGCGAGACCTGGCCGGTCTCTGGTTGGCCACCCGAGCTGGGTTGTAACTCCCTCCCCCTGACAATATGAGCAATACCATGAATATAATATGATGCCTCTGTAATAATTTTCAACATCGTAGTGGAAGAAAGATTGTGACCGGCAAAAATAGTATGACAGAGCGCTTACAGCAATTATAATTGAAAATAAATAAATAATAATAATAATAACAACAACAACAACATTGCCAATATTATGTGCGCGGTGCTCCCGCATGCGCGCGGCGCTCGGTACCCGGCGGCAGTGGTTACTTTCACTGTCAAGGCGTAGTGCGAGCGATCGGCCGGTTGGTGGGATCGCGGCGCGGTGTTGTGTAACAACTCAAGGTCATTAACGAGGCGCGCTCGCTAGTACGCCCGCAACCTCACGGAGCGCTTCCCCTCCCGCCACCGACGACGGTCACGCGGAAAAGGCGAATGACTCATTGCGCGCGCACACACACATACATAATATCTACACAACAACCTTCGGACGGGGCAACCACCTGTCTATCTATGCACCCGCGACCTCCTCGCCTTCATCATCATCAAAGTTCGCCGCCGCGGTACCTATTCCCTASCRAAGCTCAATTTTTTAACTCGACCAGAGGTAAAAATAAAACATATTAATATTTACATCATCACACSACTTCCGCGGCCTAATCTGTTGTAGTAAAAACGTAGTGTAATAATATTAAGATTACGTCGGTCGGAATTTTATCTCTTTCAATGGAAACGAATGATCACGAGTCCCTTGGGCCTCGGCCAATATTATTATAGAATATAGAGGATTGAATTTGTAMAATAATTTTTTTTCGGATTCACGTCAGGAGGAGAGAACTACAATYGGGMGGAATCTTCTTCTACGAGTATCTTCCGGCAAATATCGGGAAGAAAAAAAATACGTATTTCGTACGTGCTCCGACCGCGATACGCACTCGCACACACCTTGCTCAGACTTCTATTACCGGTGTACGTGATGTACGTACTCGATAACGAGAATTGATGATAATCTTAAAAAATGAATAACAAAATTTCATCCCATACATTAAACATTGAATGGTGTTTTGGCAAATTCGTCACAAACACTATAACCGGAAATACGATCATATTTCAATAATTGTATATACCTACTTAATTTTAATCGAGATTTTAATATATATTTTTAGTTTGGACAAATTATTTTGTTTACCATATTATCATGACGAAATTAAATTATTGAGATTATGATTTCGAATTGCACTCGATAATCAGTTAATACAAAAAAAAAAAAACGAACAAAATTGGATGATGTACAAGATAATGCAATAATAGTTAGACGGGCCTTTGATTTTTCAACTATAAATAAAAAAATACAGATATTATAAAAGCGTGATATTTTGTATTCTTGGCGATATTATCTGAAATTATAGTTGAAAAAAATTAATTTTATCTTGATTTTTGTTTTTTTTTTGTTTTAATGTAACTGCCGGGTAAAGAGTTTTGCCATATACGGCATAGAACCAAGGTCTTTTGATTAAATATTTTAACACTCATGGACAGAACTGTACACCGGCGTTAACAAATTTGTTTCCGGGTAAATGTTTACACTTGCTACACATGGAAAAATATAGTAGGTAGGTCGTAATGGAATAAAATTATATATCGCGACAAAATTGTGTAAGTTGGATATAAACAGCAGATCAGAATTTATTAATATAATTAATAAAAAGTAGGTACCTACATTTTAAGTACCAATATATTTTTTCAGTATAAATATTAGGTAGTTTGGTGTATTAAAATTAAAACGTAATAGGTAACTTATGATTTTTATTACTGCAATTTGTTTTTATTGAAAATGATTAAAATTAAATTGTTCATTATTCGTATGGATTGGTTTTATTAGTAAGAATTATTATCGTTGCAATTTATTGCTTCCAATGCTTATATTTGATATTTTAAAAACTAATTGTATTATAACACGGATACTTCTGAAAAAATCGATAAATATTTTTTTTTGTGATTTATTTAAATGAGCTAACAGACAGATATTATATATTGGAAAATATAATTATTTTCAGTGTTCATTTTAAAAACTCGTAGAATGACACTAAAAAAAAATTACCATTTAAAAAGAACCTAGTCGTTATTTGATTTCGCGCAACGTGCAACAACTGATGCACATACTTCTAAAGTCTAAACAAATATTATGGAATTTCCAGAAAACATTAGTTTGGGACATGGGTGAAAAGTGCAAGATAGAAACAAAACTTCACTTGTTAATTTCGGTTATAGTAAAAATAAACAATGCGTTATTTTCCAAAATATTTAGCTGAAATATGATTTCATAGATCACAACGATGTCGGGCAGAGCGGTGAGCAGATAAGATAACAGCCGCGTAAACGTTCGTCCAAACGTATTTCGCGCGAGTCGACGGGAAAATTGGGTCATAAATTTGATTTTAAGCTTCACGAAACTCGGAGAATTAAGATAACATTTTGTAAATATTGTTTGTTTTTTTCTATTATTATTATTATTATTATTATTAGTATTATGATCAACTGATCAAGAAGGAATTAAAATATTTTAGTGTTGTTATTATTATTATTATTTTATCGTGCGATAAAAATCAAGAGTTAYAGGTACTAACGAATTTTGGCAAAATATTAATGCGTGATCCTGGCACACGTAAAAACACGCACGAAGTTATACCACTACGCTCAAGTTTATTAATTTTTTCAAAGTAAAAATAATTATTTTGATTCGGGGAGAAGTTACTGAAAATTATTTTAGCTTGGGGATACAAAATTATTTATTATCGAAGAGATGACACGCACCTGTGTTGCGTCGGAGTACGGCGTCGTCGAGTTTTCGTCGACCAGTTGTGAGCCGAACATCGGAAGGGCCAACTTGTTATCCGACGAGTCGATGATGCGAATCGTCTCTTGTTTAGGCACCATGTTGCAAATGTTTTTTTTTTATTATTATTATTTTAGGTGTATTGTGTTGGAATAATATTTATCGTTGTGATCCAAAGAAAACGGMGCACGTGATCGAAAACGCACAAAAAAAAAATTCAAAGTCTACACACGCTCGAGCGAGGTGAAGGAAAAAAATTTTTTTCCCCTTTTTTCAAAAAGTCGTCGCGTAAAAATAATTGAAATAATTTTTATCGACGATGACGGTAGATGGCGACCGGCGAAAAAAAATTATCAAACGGAGCGACGACTTGTGGTGCGCGTGATTTCTGCGCTCGTGCAGTTGTCGCGAGCGGTGAGCAAACACTGACACGACCACAACAACAACAATAACAACTACAACGGTCGAGTACCGTCGGCAAAGGCGGACGATCGCACACTGACTGGACGAGCACGACACGACAGCGTCGAATGAGTGGCGACTGACGGCGGTCGTCTTCACAGAGTGTCGCGGGGGGCGCGTTCACCACAACGCTTGTGCTGCTGCCTCCGGTCGGCGGCCGTGGCGCACGATGTCGACCATGTCGTACCTGACGGCGAGAACTGCAACGATTGCGCGTGTGTAAGTGTGAGTGTGCGTGTGCGTGTGCGTGTGCGTGCGCATATACCAACAAGCCTGACGCACAGGACCTAACTGGACGAGTGAGCGTGGTATACTGACGCCGGTTACGGCATTCGACGGCCACTATAATACCGTCGTTCCCCTCCGCGTCCCCTCGTCACCGTCACCGCCAAGACGTGTTCTCCCGCCACTAGCGCCCGCCGCCGTAGCTGCCGACGATATTATTATTAGGGCAACGCCACACGGCGGAAGCGAGCCTCACTACGGTACGCCACCGTCGTCGTGCGATCACGTCTTGCTCGCTTGCGTATTTCACTGTATTTGTCGCGAACATTTTTGTTGCTTTTTTTTCTCCAATTTCACTGGCTCTCTGCCTTCTTAATCATTATTACTGATGGTATAATAGCGATTTCCGGTCATCAAATTTGCGAGAGAAAAAATGTTCGCCAATACCATATTTTACTGTACTGCAGTCTATTATATATTTATAATACCTATATTTTAAACTTATAAATAATGTTATTATATCATAAAATATTTTTTGAAAACGTGACCTCTCATATGGTATATACTATATACATGGGGATTACGCCTTATTTTTAATTCGATATTTCGATTACCTTTATCGTCATCTCCCTGACAACTAACTCGTTGATTTAAATATTCATTATCTACCTAACCTTTATATTATATACTGCATTACTGTATTAGTTTCATTGATAACGATATTATTTCAGTTCAGGAATTTTTTTCAAACAAATAAACGGGAAAGAAACATCTATTTGTTTGACCGGAAAAAACGCCCAGCTGGAATTTCATAAAATTTTTGTAGATAAAAAAAGAAATATTTTCSCTTCCAGTGAGAGCGTGGTAGGTACCACCCCCTATAAGTTCCTAGCCTTTATATATATWCCGATTATGTACGGTTAACCACGCCACGGTTACTTTGTTCCTATAAATAACTATAATATTACAGAGGTACGTAGCTACAAGTCGAGTGTCGATAAAAAAAAGCGATGTTCGAYAAGTTTTGTCATCCTAAAAATCGATAGTGGGGATTTAATCACACTTGCAGTATCTACTCCCATTGACGTGCATGTTACGTTAACCGACAAACCATTCGATTGACGTTTAATATACTGCCTGACACGATTTGTTGGCCTAATAATATTATTTTTCAATCAATATGTGGTTTAATAAATGTGTTGTTTTCGACAAATTGGTGTTATTAATTATTATTGTGAGCGATTTATTAGGTTTAGGTATATCATATGTGTCTTATAGTATCGCTTTTTTCAA